CGGCCAGCCTGGCCTACAAGAACTAATTCCAGGACATATTCCAGAGCTACAGAGAAACTCTGTCTTAAAAAAACAAAAGAAAAAAAGATAGGATAAATAATATTTTTCTCAATTTGCCAAATATAAATGGATGAAATATTGTTAACTATAACTCAGGGCAGAATAATAGTTTTAGTGAAAACTAAACTTAATGATGGGAGAAAGAAGGCAGAGTCAGGGAGATGCCATGTAGATGCCAAAGGAGAAAGATGCCACTGTGACTGATAGGTCACAGTCTCATGGTGATAGACAAATTAATATAAATGGGTTAATTTAAGATGTAAGAGCTACAATTGTACCACAGGTGCTCAACTATGTTCATAGCAGCATTGTCATAACCAGAACCTGGAAACAACTTAAATGCCTCTCAACCGAAGAATGGATAAGGAAAATGTGGTACATTTACACAATGGAGTACTACACAGCAGAAAAAAATAATGACATCTTGAAATTTTCAGGCAAATGGATGGATCTAGAAAGTATCATATTGAGTGAGGTAACCCATACCCAGAAAGACAATTATCATATGTACTCACTCATAAGTGACTTTTACACATAAAGCAAAGAAAAGCAGTCTACAGTTCACAATCCCAGAGAACTTAGACAACAATGAGAAGCCTAAGAGAGACATACGTGAATCTAATCTACATAGGAAGTAGAAAAAGACAAGATCTCCTGACTAAACTGGGATCATGGGAGAGGGTAGAAGGGGAGGGGAGAGAAAAGAAGGTGAGTGGAGAAAAATATATAGCTCAATAAAAACAATTTTTAAAAAAGGAAAAAAAGATGTAAAAGCTAACTACGAATACGCCGAAGCTATTGGCCAACCAGTGTTATAATTAATATAGTTTCTTTGTGATTATTTGGTCTGGGTGGCTTGGAAACCAATGAGCAGTCTCTGTTTGCATGCCATATTGAGACTCACAAGACACTGGGCTTCATGCACTGAGCAACTACCAGGTTCTCTACCTTCCAAGTTTTAAACAACTTCTATTACTGTTTTCATGTAAGCTGACTTTATAAATCACATACATGTGCACACACCACACACACACATGGTCTCATCCTATCCTACCCACTCTCTCCATCTAGAGAACCTTGACTAATACGATATTATTTCATGGATTTTTTTAAAGTTAAATATCAGATGCCACTCATCCTGACTTCCTTTCCTGTGACTGTGACAAAAGGAACTCATGAGGAATTGGGTTTATTTCACCTCGCTGTTCCAGGACAAGTGGTGGAGAAATCACGGTGCCAAGAGTCTGGAGCAGTCAGTTAGTCACATCTCACGTAAATCAGGGAACAGAGAGAAATGAAGGTCTGGCTCGTCTCCTCCATCTTCTGTAGCCCAGGATCTCAGCCCAGGGAATGGTGCCACCTGACCGCCACTCTTCTCATCCCACGGACCTCTTCAAGATAATTCCCCAGAAGCATGCCCAGAGACTGACCTGGGTAACACTGAACAAGTGTGCTCAGAAGTGTCTCTCTTGGGCAATTCCAGAGCCCGACAAGTTGACAATTTACACTAACCATTACACTGTTATAAAAACATCTGTCTGGGTCAGTCTGCCAATGAGCCTCAGGCCCAGTTTTAAAACTTCTGGAAGGTCCGCTGTACTCTCCTGCACTGGAAGGCTGAACTTATATTTGATAGGACTGATGATTCAAAATGGAGTTTAACCAAGAACGTCAATAAAAAGAAAATTTTAACTATAAAAATTATATTGTCATTTATTGCTTCGAGAGGCCACTTATGCTCCTATTTCTGCCAATTAGGCCAGAATTCATAAGTGTGGCTTTAGGGTTTCTTAATGCAAAGCAAATGGTTCTCAAGCTTTTAGTCTCAAGGCTTTATACTTTATAAATTATTAAGGATACTCTCAAAGAGGTTTCATTTATGAGAGTTATGTCATTGTTCTGTAATTAAAGCTGATAACTACAAAGAATTCATTCATTTATAATAAAAGTAGAATGGGTTAGTGAGTTGGCTCAGTGGAAAGAGTATTTTTCACACAACTTGAAGGACCTCAGTTCAGAACCCCAGAGCCCCTACGAAGTCAGATGTAGAAGCGCCTCTCTGCAATCCCAGCACTCTGATGGTGAGTTGGGAAGCAGAGGCAGAAAAATCCCTCGTGGTTTGTGGGCAAGCTAGGCTGAAGTATACAGTGGTGAACAAGGTAGGAGACAAGGATTGCCTCTGAGGTCGTCCTCTGATCTATACATGCAGGCCATGCACACACACACACACACACACAAGCACACATATACAACACACACATCATGCACATATACAGACAATATTATTTTAAAGAGTTCTTTTTAGTTTGTAGATATTTGTGTTTTGCCTTCATGTATTCATGTTCACTGCACACCCGGTGCTGGAGGCCAGAAATGAGCTTGAGATCCCATCCAATTGGAGATACAGACTGTTGTGAGCTTTCAAATGTGAATGCCTGGTATCAAATCCGGGTCCTCTGAAAAGCAAATGTGCTCTTAACTGTTAGGGCAGGCCCACGCCTTCATTTTTCTCTGTCTCCCAAGTACTTGTATTAAAAGGCATTGCTTTAAAGTAAAAAAATTAGGGTGCTAGTTCAGAGAGAGAGCCCATCTCAAAAGACAAGGTGGCAGACAATCAAGGAAGGTACCCAGTGTCAACTTTTGCCTTTTCGACACATTCGTATGTACCTGCACACACATATAAATACATGTGCATGACCACACGTACTCAGGTAAATGAAAAAGAGTAAGCAGGGAGAGGTTGCAGGATGGAGACAGGAGGATCAGGAATGCAGGATCACTTGACTATATAGTGAGTATTAGATTAGCATTGGCTACATAAGCCTGTCTCAGTGAAAACAACATAAAGCTATTAAATATAGATATGATTTATGAAAAATAATTATGTTCTCATAACGAAGTGCATAAAATAGTATACATTTTTAAAAATATCTTTCCTGTCTGGCTTAGTAGACAATGAGATTGTATTTGTTTCGACCTACCATTTGCTGCCATATATATCTCCTTTCACGTATATGAACAAGCCCTGGCCAGCCTCAGGGACATCTTTAATGCTGTTTCCAGGTAAGTATGGATATTCTTTGATGATTATCTTAGCTAGGGTTTCTATTGCTGTGAAGAGACACCATGGCCCAGACAACCCTTATAAAGGAAAACATTTATTGTGGTGGCTTGGTTACAGTGAAGAGCTTTAGTCCATTATCATCAGGGTAGGAAGTAGACAGAATGCAGACAGACGTGGTGCTGGAGCCTCAGAGTCCTTACTTACATTTTGATCAAAGACAACAGGAAGTGAACTGAGATACTGGGCAGTATCTTGAGCGTGTATGAGACCTCACAGCCTGCCTCCACAGTGACACACTTTCTCCAACAAAGCCACACCTACTCCTACAAAGTCACACCTTCTAATAGTGCCACTCCCTTTGAGGAGGGCATTTTCTTTTAAACCACCACAATGATATATCAAAAATTTGGAAATTGTCATTTCTTGAAGGCTATCTGGAATCCTATCCATCAACTTCATATTCTGTAACTCACTGATGTCTATTGGTCCACCTTGACCTTGAGTGGATCTCTTATCTACACATGATTTTGTGACACCATTTTATTATCTGAAAAACATTGAGTCACTGAACTGAGAGAGAAATATTTTTTAAATGTCGACAGTTTCCATTAGACAGTAATTTTTTTAAGTGCACTCATTAATATCACCACTGATCTCATCAGAAAAGATTTAAGTATTGAGACACTGTCAAGGACTTGGCCCATTTCTTAAAATTAATCTCAAGAGTTATCACTGGCAATAACAAATATCCCTGTTTTCTTGGAAGTGACAAGTAAATCTTAGTTTTGAAAAAGTCGGTCCAGAGCCAGGTAGGAGTTAGAGGCACGTGCTTTTAATCCCAGCACTCGGGAGGCAGAAGCAGGGAAGGTCTCTGAGTTTAAGGCCAGATTGGTCTACAGAGTGAGTTCCAGGACAGCCAGGGCTACTTGGAGAAACCCTATTTTAAAAAAATAAAATAGAATTTTTTTAAAAAAAGCAAAAGCCTGCCCAGTATCTATCTGAATAACCATAGTGTACCCATCTTTCTCTCATGCTAAATTAACGTAAAAATAAAAACATTGGGCTAGGTGGTGGCACACCCCAGTTAATCCTAGTACTGGAGACCCCAAGGCAGGAGTGGGGTAGGTTGAAGCCCTCCATGACTACATAGCTAGACTCTGCCTCAAGAAACCAGCCTCCCCGCCAAATCAACAAAAGCGAACCGTACAACCACAAATTCAGCCCAACTCAAGCACACAACATTTTTCCTAGAGGCAAATATGGCATGTGACGGCTGTTTTATCCACACTTTCTATTTTTTCCCCCTGCATTATTCTAAAAAGCATACCCAGGGATTGAATTTCAACCGAATTATTAGTTTTCTCAAGTGACACCTGGCTTCAGCTGCTTTTCGTTTTCCAGTGAACGCACAGCAGCAAAAATACACTGACTGGTGGTAGAATTTGGGACCTGCGTTAGGTCAATGTCGGTGCACACATCACACGCCTCAGCATTGCCGTGGACAATCTTAACATTGTAGGCCTCTGAGAGTCTCAAGAAATCCCTCAAGGATTTGGGGGCGCACCCTTTAAGAATCTCCAGAGTTGTTCTTTTTGGAGTTATTGTCTTTGATTGGGTTTTGTAGGGAAGAGTCAACGAAGAGCTAAGCCAAGGCGTGGGCCACAGCCGAGAAGGAAATGTACGCTGCTCAAAGGCTCCCGTAGGAAGAAATAGAGGAAAAAACCGGCTTCAGAAAGCAGGCCTGGGCTTCTCGTTGCCAAGGCGACGATCCTCCGCGAGAGGGCCGGCCGTCGATTGGCGAAGCCTAGCTTGGGTCCCCAAGAGGCGGAAGGTCGCCCAGCTGCGGTCGCTCGCTCGGCGGTCGATTGAGGGGGCTTCGCGGAGGCCGGGCAAGAGGGCGGGTGGGAAGATGGCGGCCACTGCCGCCGGTGGGCTCCCTGGGAAGGGGCATGATATCAGCCTGGCGGCCCTGCAGCGCCACGACCCCTACATCAGTCGCATCGTGGATGTGGCCAGCCAGGTGGCTCTGTACACTTTCTTCCATCGGGCCAACAAGTGGGTGCGTGCGGACGCGGCGGACATGCGGACGGCGGGGCGGGGACGGGGCGGGGGATGCTGGGCTCGGATGGGCGGGAGGAGGGCCCCCCATCCTGGAGGAGGGCGGTCCGGGAGACCCACCCTCAGGTAGGGGGAGATGGATCCCGGAGGTGTGGCTGGCGCCGCAGCGAGCCCGACTCGGGCCTCGAGGCCGGAAGACAGAAGCGCTCTGGCAGCGGAGGGCTGAGCGGAGCCCCAAGCCTCGCCGATGGGGAGACGCCAGGGTCAGAAATGTAGGGCGGCAGACACCCACCTAAAGAGCCAGAGGCTTTGGGGAATAAAGAGGAAATGGGACGCTCCAGACTTTGATGTAGGAGTCCATGGTTGGGAGCCTAACCGTTTCGGTGCATTTCCCAAGACCGAACCCCATCCTACAGCAACCGAATGAAGTTTAGTTTCCTTCACAACTAGAGTGGAATTGGAACAGGAGACAAATTAGTTCTGGCCTAGGTATTATTGAGTCATATAGTTTATAAGCCATACCTTTGAATATAAAGGTGTCATTTCCCCCTCTCGCGTGACTTTAGTACCAAATATTATTCACCTTTCTATAACCATCGGTTTTCACACAGTTCAGTGGGGTATGAAGAACAGCTTGCAAGGATTTCAAATGATTTTTTTTTGCTTTGTTCACCAAGCAAATCTATACAAGGAAAACTTTGGTTATTGAGCAAAGTCAGCATTGGGTAGGCTGTAATAGCAACTACCCGAAAACCATGAACACAAAAAGAGAATGAATGCGTCCATGGAGATGGAGCTTGGTTCGTCCCCGGCACTCCTGAAAAAAAGGTCAGGAAGGATCAGGATAGTTGCAGAGAATTTGTGTCTTTTCTCCTAGTAGCCAAATCCGAAGGGGAAATGTGCAGAGTTGTAATGTTCAGGGTTCCGAATATTCCTGGCTCGATTCACTGAGGCTGTTTTTCATGGTCACCAGAGGAAATTACCACTTGGGTCTTTATGTAATGAAACGTGTATTTATGTGAAGATCCCTTACTTCCCTCTAGAGCAGTGGTTCTGAACTTTCCCAGTGCTGAGCCCCTTAGTACAGTTCCCCATGTTGTGGTGACCCCCAACCATAACATTATTGTTGCTGCTGTTTTGTAACTGTAATGTTGGTACGGTTATATTTTTGGAAATAGATGTTTGTTTGGGGTCGCCATCCCCTGGTTGAGAACCACTGCACCAGGGCCACATAATGTGGTTATTTGGAAGTAATTCTTGTAGTAGTGTAGGACCCAATAAAAGTTCACGGTGTAGCCGGGAGGTGGTGGCGCACGCCTTTAATCCCAGCACTCGGGAGGCAGAGGCAGGCGGATCTCCGTGAGTTCGAGACCAGCCTGGTCTACAAGAGCTAGTTCCAGGACAGGCTCCAAAACCACAGAGAAACCCTGTCTCGAAAAACCAAAAAAAAAAAAAAAAAAAAAAAAGAAAAAAAAGTTCACGGTGTAAGTTGACTCATTACGGGGCTCAGTCCAGAAGACTAGAAGCTATTGAAAGGCACAGTGGAGCAGCCTCCCTTGGGGAGCAGGCTTCCTAAAGCCTCTTCCCAGTCCTGTGTGACAGAGACCTTTTCAAAGCTTTAGAGAGGCTTACCAGATCCCCAGTGACACCCAGCAACAAATGCTGCATCGAAGGTGTCACGATGCATTATTTACAGGAGTTTTGTTTTCCTGTTTCCTGGACTTGTTTTCTCTAGACAGGGCATAATTCATTCAGTAAAAGGTCATTCTTTCAAAGTACTAATCTTCTAGGCTGTGGTTGCCTGGCAAAGGAGAGAGACTTAGTTCAACAGCAGAGCGGTGTGTGTGTGGGGGGGGGGTGTCTGTCAATCACATTGTCACTGCTGTCCCCCTGTGCTGTCACTCAGGTCTCCTGACAGGAGCCTTTCGAATGTAAACTTAATCAGAAGTATAAGAATATTCTTCAGAATGGAAGAGAATATATTGCAAGAAGGCAGAGTGGGCATGAGCAGAGGTGCCCTTATTACACTGGAAATCAGCATCGGGTGTTGGAATGAGGCCTCAAGGGTGCAGAGGATGAGTTCCTGTTAGGAAGGGACTGCAGATAGAGCGATAGCGCATGTGCCTAGCGAGCATAGCACCTGCACAGGTCTGCTTTAATCCCCAGGGCACACACATAGGTGCACAAAGGATTAAGAAGAGATTTCCCATGACAAGAATAGGAATTTTAGAACTAAATTTACTCCTTTTTGCTAGGAAAGACTCTCCCCGAAATACCCTATGTGTCTTTCTTTCTTTGCAGTCAGTCCTCAGCTGGATTTGATCCCCACCCCCCGACCCGCTCCCTCCTTCCCTATACACACACCAGTGACATTTGACAATATCAGGAAACTTTGTTGGTGACTTCTGCAGAGTAGAAGCAGAGGTGTTGCCAGATGTCCTGCAGTGAGCAGGCATTGGTGTGGCTAAGTCCACACCACGAACCATGCGAAGCTGGAGGCGTGTTTTAGAATCGCAATGCCCCTTATTTCTGGCTAACAACCCTGAGTTCCCCGTGCATCACAGTGGCTGAGCTGAGAGGGGCAGCGCATCAGATCAGAACCCTGGACAAGACCTAGACAGCTGTGAAAGAGACGAAGCTGCAGAAGTGGCTTTGCTGCCACATGTGCAGTGACGAGAGACAGCTTCAGGAAGATAAAGTGGGCCCACCTTTTCTTATCTTAGAATATTCAGTAAAATTGAAATTGCTTTCAATTGTTCCAGATATGTCAATGTCTTTACTAATAATTTATGAAACAACATTATTTATACTCTTCATTATTTTGAACACTGAGCTTCGTGTGTGTGTTGTGTGTGTGTGGTACCATTATTTTCTGAGTCTAGGCTATAATACTCCAGAATTATGAACTTACAACTTTTAAGTCTGCCTTACTGGGAGGATTTGAGGAAAGCTAGTAAAATCCTATTCTACTTATTCCCACACCCTAAATTCATTGCTTTCTACAGAAAGGACAAAAAAAAAAAACCTGCCCTTCAAAATCAGCAAAATACATTCCAAAGCTCCAAGTAAGAGCTTTTGCATTTTTTTTTCCTTGAAAGGTTTGAGTTGCGTGAGTCAGTTACCTTTTCAGTGGGGAAGATAAGACAGAAAAGTAGATGAATTGTCCCGGTGTGATCTGGTAGAAACCTCACCCAGCTCAAGTTGTAATTACTGAGCTATATAATTCCTTCCCATGAGCCATTCCAAACGAGACTCAAGTTTGAGGATTGTTTTTGTGAGTTATAGTTACAATCCTGATTTGGGATTATTCTAAACTAAAATAAGGCATTAAAAAGTTTTGTTTTTGAAGTAAAGAGAATTTTTGTTGCAAGCAAAAAAGAAATCAGTCGGAAGCAATTAGCTTATGTGTGCTGACTGTGTGAGAGAGCTGATCTGCATTCCAAAGCTGGCCCAAGTCACAGGCTGCAGAGTAAAGAGCCCCACAGCGTGTGCACAGGCGTCCTTACACCTGCCGCTGCTTCAGTTCCTGTGAGGGTTGCTCATAGGACCATTCACTGGTACGGTTTCCTTTTAAGGGTGTTGTATATTGCCTAAACACTTGCCGCCTCTGTCAGTTCAGCTCTGAATGGGTTTGCTCAGGGGCTAAGAATGTGCTTTTCTATCAGACTCCCAAGTGACCGTGGTGCTTCTCACCTGGAGACCACCCTTCAAAACCCCTGCCCTAAGTCCCTGAGGAAACAGCTGTAATCAAGTAGATTACTTGAAAAGATCATGCTTTCAATTCTGTGCCTTTAAAAAAGGAACTATTTTAATGTTACATCTTTTTCTTAAAGTATATATCTTGCATCTGAATTGTAGAGTACTTAGTTTTAAATTTGGATAATGAGTATTGTAAAATACTGGGGCCTTAAATAGGATAATAGGATGCTGAAATTAAATGATATAAACACCAAAAGCATATGTTAAATTCTGAGTTACAATAATCTGATTAGTAGTTAAGCAGAAGAACTGCGTGTGTGCTGTGGTGAAGAACTGGATCCCTCCTGGCTTGGAGAAGTGGAAGGGACGCCAAAGAACTCAGACTCTCCCTATAGCTTGACCACCTCCCCAGATTTCCTCCGGCAGTTCTTGAGTCCTAACTTGGTAATATTTCTGGGTAATGTTATTTCAAGCCTTTGGCCAAAGTAACTCTGCAGTATTTCATGCCAAGAAGGTGTTTGTTTAGCTGAAGACTGGAGCACACGCCTTGTCTGTCTAGCAGTCAGAGCAGTTATTGACAGATCATCTGTTCTCCTAGTGACAGGGTATGGCGGTGAACACAAGATAAGGTGGAGGGTAATGAGGTGCAGATAACAGTTAATTTGACAGCTTGCGCGCATGCAGTTAGGTGGATGGCGGAGAAGGCTGCGCCCTTACCATCTCCTCTTTCTGATGATGTCTGGAGCACACGTTCTCAGCTCCAGCCAGGTGGGCCACTCATAGTGTGTTTGGGAAAGAGAATAGTGACCAAGTACTGCTCATTCAGCACCCTCTGGTAACATCAAAGTCTATGTCTTCCCCCTCCTGGTAGCCCCTCTGTTCCATACTGCCACTTCGCCTACTTGAAATTGTATGCCGTCCCCTAGTATTCTGTAAGAAGTTTGTGTTTTCTGCCATAGAATGAAGAGAACATACATATGGTATGTGTTTGCTTTATTTTTAGGAGAAGACTGATGTGGAAGGAACCTTATTTGTTTATACAAGGTAAGAGTGATTTTAGAAAAACAATTTTGAAATAATGTTTTAGCTTAGTTTTGTCACGTCTTGAAGGGCAGTTTTATTTCAAAGAAGTACCACAACCAAATCCATGCAGAATTACTAGTTGGCAAGAAGACTAAATAACACAGAATGTGACCTGGGACATTCTGATGGTGCTGGTTTCAGGATAGAATTCCAACTTAAATCTTAATATCTGTTCTAGCAGTACATATTCATCATCTGATTGCAATGAATTGCACACAGCTTGCGAACACTGTGCACTGCCAAGAGATTAGAGGTACGCTGTTAGCTAAATTAGGCAGTGGTTGGGAAGGACTTGTGGCTCACCTTCTCTCACCCTTTACTGCTTAAAAAAGCATGCCCCGGGGTTGAATCTGTTCCTCAGTCTTCCATTGTCTAGTTAATAATGTGTCCGGATTAATTTAATAAGTTGATGCTTTTAGTAATTTCTTTTTTATCACATATTATTAATATCACACATGCACACAGACACACGGTATATATATTGTCTTATGACTACATGCAGATTTATTGTTAATGCGAATGTCCACATAAGTATCTTGGATTCTGTCACCTAGGGGAGTTCAGAGATGAAATATAAAACTGGTAGTCTAAGCCCCGATTGAAGGAACAGTTTTCCTGGAGAAATAAGAGGATAAGTACATACACCCATGTTCAAGTTTAAGATGACCACAATACAGGATATACCGTCCCTAGTACTGGTTGCTGTAAAAGCTGCCCAGAACTCCTGCGGTTGTGGGAGACATTGTAGAATGACAGAGCTTGGGTTGGACTTCAGGACAGGAAGTCCCAACAGAAAGAAAGGCAAAAGTAGGGATACAGACTCCTGTTTAAAGGAACAGTAGGCCCAAAAAGCAATCAGGGCTCTCTGCCCTGTGGGAAGTCCAAGGACCACCCACCTCCATCCAGGTCTAGTAAGGTGAGCATCCACGAAACTGCCTAGGCTCCCACGAAACCAATAGGTCCAGTAGGATCAAAAACCCGTTGCCATTGTTCTTGAGGTCTCAGTAGTCCTCCTTGTCCGCTATGTTCAGCGAGACCGGTTTTGACCCAGGCTTTTTCAGACCCAGGCCTTGATTGGGGGAGGGGGAGGGAAAGGGGAGGCGGCGGTGGGGAAGAGACAGAAATCTTTAATAAATAAATTAAAAAAAAATAAAGGGACAGTAGGGATTGAATCTGGTGTAGATGGTTTATATTAGCATAAGTGATGCGATTGGATAGAATGGTAGCCTAAGGATTCTGAAGTTTATTTCTCTAGCAGTAGGGAGTAACTGAAGGCTTATGAACATGAGGATGCTTAATAAGCTGTGAGAAAACGCATGGAGAGTCAGTGTGTTAGATCATAAGGAGGCACTTGCTGTGAAAGAAACTGGAGTTGGGCAGGATATTAGAGGGTGACTGCCGTGAAGTAGATAGGAGAAAAAGCTGGGACCAGAATAACAGAAGTCCAAGTGAAAGTTCATGGATGGAGAACACAGTGACACCGAGACACAGAGCCTCTAGGCAAATGGCGGTGCTTGAACGGAATGACAAACCTTTGGTAGAACTCAAGTGGTGGGGGGCATGGGGCTGGTCAAGGATCTGGGCCTCATCTGGTCTCTGTGAAGTTCACCCCCCACCTGGGCCTTTGGTCTTTAGCGTTTTGAAGTAATACTTTTGCGATGGTCTCAGTGAATTCAGATTAAGGAATCCAGGCACTTGGTCATCTTTGGAGAGTTTTGTATTGTCTAAGAGGAGTACCAACAGGAAATAGGAATGAGTTGATGGGTGAATTCTGGGGCCAACAGGGACATAGAAAGCAGAACTAGAATAGCCTTAAGAGGCCAGCTGGGGGCACAATACAGAACCAGTGAAGGGAGGGTGTCAGCTGCCCTGTCATCCGGGGAGAGGGAGTGGAAGGAAGGAATGACTGACCAGGCTACAGGCTGGACCACAAGTAAGACAAATGTTTAGGGTTGTGAATCTAAGAATTACTAGCCTATTAGTCCATGTTTTATGCCAGAACATTCCAGAAGCACCAAGTGGATTTGCTCAGCGTGAGTAATTGAGAAGGTAAAGAGAAACTGAAGCACGGTGTGTATTCTCTCTCGTTTCTAAGAAGGATTATTTTGAGGAGAGAGATGCAGTAGTATGTATTAATGATGGTTTTAAGGACTTTTCTGCTGAATTATACAGTTATTTTCTCTTTTGTATTCAAACCAAGTATAGCTTTGTATTTTGTCTTGTTTTTGAGGTAGTGTCTCATGTAAACCTGGTTGGCCTCAAACTTACCATATAGCAGTGGATAGCTTTGAACTTCTGTTCCTCACAAGTGCTGGAATTACAGCCTTGTGCCAGTTTTATGTAATACTGGAGATGGAGCTCAGGGCTTTGTGCGTGCTAGGCAGCTACTCTCCCAACTGAACTACGGCCTAGCACTTAAGTCCTTCTTGATATATGCTCCACGTGGCTAACGAAATAAGTCATACCATTACACTGAGAAAAATAATCCTTCCCTGTCTCTTAATCCTGTTCCCCAAACTATCTCGTTGGGATGACATCTCTGCTTCCTCCCCTTCCTGCATGTACACCCCCCCCTTCCCGCGTGTACACCCGCCCTTCCCGTGTGTACACCTCCCCTTCCCACATAGACCCATGTGCCTGGTCTGGTGAGGTCTTCTCCTCAGTGTGGAGGCAGCAGTTTAGCTAAGGTAATAAAGCTGTGTGTGGTACACCTTTACTTCTCCTTCAGAAGTGTCTCAGTGCACCTGGCATCTTTGTTTCTGGGCCTGTAGTGTAAACTGTGGTATAGTTCCTTCCATTTATGACGTAAAATGTTATGCTACTGAAATACATGTCAAGAAATATTTCTTTGAGTTCCCATGTCTTCCTATTTGTGATGGAGTTCATGGAGACACAGTCACCGGAATGTCTAAATTTATTATTCAGGACCCTCTGTCAGTCTTAGGAGTGCATTTTCATCTTCTCTTAAGTTTAAATAGAAATGGCCGTTTGGGAAATTGAGGCTATGCCTGTCAGTGCTTTACCTCCTTGTAGGATAAGCACATCAAAGATTGCCTTCCATCAGTTAAAAGGTTGGCACTTTAGAAATAAAATCCTGTAAGTGGCAATGTTGTACTTTATCAGTATAAAGTAGTTAAAAGCAAAATAAAACTAATTTTCTTCCTGTTTGTACTGGTAGCCCAGGAATCTCCTTTAACTTGAACACATGAATGCTACTCTCTTCTGTTAAATGCGGATGTTGCCCTTCTGTGTCACTGCGAGAGTCTTGGCTGACTTATGATGTGGCTGTCACTCAGCACAGACAAATGTGCACATGATTGTTAGTTTACACTGTGTACACTGTGGGTCTCCGGCCTGACAGATGGGCAGTCGAGGTTTATTGAATGGAATGAAAAATGAAACTCTCTAAAGGTCACTTTTTACCAGGTAAAGTTTTATAGTGGCTTGTCCAGAAAAACGGTTTGCTTTGTAGTGAAGAGAACAGAACGCGCGTGCGCACGTGCACACACACACACCGCCACTGTTACATGACCCTGCTTTGTACCTCCTCTCACACGTTCGCTCACTGACAGAGCTGCCTCATTTTCCTGAAGTTCTCAGTTTCAAGCTAATATTTACACTTTTAGTAAAAATTATCTTTTTGTAAGAAATATATGCTTTTAACTCTGAAACCCTTTTGAAAGTATCTTCCAGTAAGACTTTCTTAAGATTTATTTTTTTCCTGTATTTTATGTACATAAGCACTCTGTCTTCCGTGCACATCAGAAGAGGGAATAGATCCCATTACAGACAGTTGTGAGCCACCATGTGGTTGCTGGAATTGAACTCAGGACCTCTGGAAGAGCAGTCAAGTGCTCTTGACCACTGTGCCATCTCTCCAGCCCCTAGCAGTAAGATTTTTAAAGGCAGTTATGTCTCTATCTTAAAGGAGTGTGCAGCATAGGCAGAGAGACAAGATGAACATAAGATCTGCACAGCCTCCGGCACAGTTAAAAACAATGACCTTAAGGACATAGATGCCCAGTGTAAAGAAATGTTGCTTCCTAGGTGTACAGACTGCTTGTGAGAAACTGGGTATACACAGCAAAGTTAATAGACACGTCAGAAGGTAGCTACACTGCAGGTGCGCTCTGCTTAGCAATGTCTCTCCCCTGCTCCATGATTTCCAGGTCTGCCTCTCCAAAGCACGGATTCACCATTATGAATAGGCTCAGCATGGAGAACAGGACAGAACCCATTACTAAAGACCTGGACCTCCAGCTCCAGGACCCTTTCCTTCTCTACAGAAATGCCACATGTGAGTCTCTTTACATATGTTTATACATATGTAAACATACAGCGGTGGTCATGTGCCACATGTGAGTCTCTTAATGCAGCGGTAGTCTGTTCTGAAGTCAAGTGTCCCAAGCTGCAGTGTCCTCCCGTGCTCTGCATTTAGTATCAACAGCTTGGGTTTTAACATTTATTAGCTTGGAAGTGTTCAAGCGAGAGTTTCCTTAAGCCCTGTCTTGAGCAGTTCTTCTGCCTATAGAATGAACCAGTCATTGACTTTAATCCTGAGCAGAAATGGGGAAGGTGAGTACTTGGTAAGGAGACAAGAGAGGGACGGGTGGTGTCACTGAACACAGAGTCGATGATTTGATTAGTGGGAGTTTTTCCTTGTGTATCACCTCTGACCAAGCACTGCGAGGAGTGATTGAGGAGAGGGTCTATACTTTTGAGTATGTAATTACTGAAAAGTCAGAGTCCAAAGAATTTGGCCCTTTAGAGTCTCTTAAGCATTTGTAATGGTGACATTGCGGTAGGTAACTGAGTGGTTCTTGATGGACTCGAGAAGAAGTAGCAGTTGCTGGTGGTATTCTGTCCTCATTTCACTGTCTTATCTGAGAAAGACTAACGAAGCCGTCAGCTTCAGGGCCGTCTTCACCATAGGACCTTACTCCTGGGAAGGTAAGTATGGGCCAGCTCTTTGGCCTTGTGGGGAACTTTCAAAGAGACTTTGCAATCCAGTTGTGGTTTGAGCTTAAGATCTAAGAGGTCGGTACTAGGGAGGGAGATGGCTCAACTGGTAAAGAGCTTGCAACATGAGGACCTGAGTTCCACGCTGCAGCAGTCTCTCTCTCTCTCTCTCTCTCTCTCTCTCTCTCTCTCTCTCTCTCTCTCTCACACACACACACACACACACACACACACAAAGCCAGCAGTAGCTGTGTACATTTGTATTTCCAGTGCTGGGAGACAAAGTCAGGTGGGTGCCCAGAGCTTGCTGGCCTTCCAGGCTAGCTGGAACTGGGAATTCCAGGTTCAGTGAGAGACCCCATCTCAAAAACCAAGGCAGCCGACAAAATGATTCGGCAGGTAAAGATCTTTGCTGCCAAGCCTGATAGCATAAGTTTGATCCCTGAAATCTACATAAAGGTGGAAAGAGAGCACCAGCTCCCACAAGTTGTCCTCTGACCTACACACACACACACACACACACACACCCCACAATGTCACATGCTCCCTCCTCTCCAGCAAATAAATGTGGGGAAAAATGGAGAGTGACAGAGAAATACATCTGTTGTCAACTTCTGGCCCTGACACAAATGTGCGTGTGCAGACACACACACACACACTTGCATACAGCACACAAACACAAAAGAGGCTGGGGAGATGTCTTGGTGTTTAAAGTATTTACTCTGCATGTGTGGGACCTGAGTCCTGATCCCTAGCACCCAAATAATTGTCCAGTAGCCCCAATGCTGGGGGCAGAGACGGGCAAGCCCTGGGTCTTGTGCCCATTCATTCTAGCCTAAATGGTTAGCTACAGGGTCAGTGAGAGACCCTGTCTTTAATAAAAGAAGATGGAAACATAGAGGAAGGCATCCTGACATCAGCCTCTAGCCTCTGTACACTCCTGCATTGTTAAGCACACTTGCACATGTGTGCACACATAAATATAGCACACATCTCCTGACACAGAACTTGTCTACTGTATACTACTCAGAATTTTAATAATGTAATTTAAGTAATACTTGATGATAATCCCAGTGAATAGTTTAAGACTAAATGTAGCAATACATTAAATATGATGCTATAGTTAATTGTACATAAATAGGTTGTTGTGATAAATGTCTAGTCCTTAATGAGAAAAAATAGAGCTATTAGAGCAGTAATGTGACTTACCAATAGTAGGCCCTATGAAAAGAAAGGTTTTGCAGTATTTTATTTAAAAATATGGTTTGTTGCTGTTTTTTTGCAGTATGGTTATAGTTATGTCAGAATTTATATTCTTGTTTTAAAAGGATATTTGGGCAAAGGAGCTGGCTTAGTTAATAAAGTGCGTACTGTACAAACATTATCACCTGAGTTCAATTCCCCAGATCCCATTGAAAAAGCTGGGTGGAGTGGTGTGTGTGTAATCCTAGGAAGCAGGGACAGGAGGCTCCCTGGGGCTCCCTGGCCAGCCAACCTAGCTTAGTGGGTGAACCCCAAGCCAGTGAGAGACTGCTTTAAAAACCATGGTGGACAGCACCTTAGAAAGAATGACGCGAGTTCCAGGACAGCCAGGGGTACACAGAGAAACCTTGGTTTTGGTGGGAGAGAAGAAAGAACAACACCGATGTCTGGCTCATAGACACAAAAAATACTGTGTCCTGAATAGCATTAACATATTCAAATGCTAATAAAGAAGCCACAAAAATGGATGTAGATTAGATGGCTTAGCAATTAAGAGCATTAGCTGCTTTTCCAGAAGTCCCAGGTTCAATTCTCAGTACCCATGTGGCATCTCACAACTGGCTATAACTACAGTTTCAGGGACACAACACCCTCTTCTGGCCTCCATATGCACCAGACATGAAGTTGTGTGTATGTGCGTGCGTGCATGTGTTTGTGTGTGTGTGTGAAATAAACCTTTAAAAGTGAACATATAATGAATGAATACTAGTTATCTATCAGTCATTTCTGGTTGTTCTTATTTTGTACAAATAATTGATCTAGTCACTGTAGATATTCTGAAATTCTTATATATTGCCTTATGTAATATACAATGCTGAAAGATTAGAATTTCCTTAATGTATTAATTTAAAAAATACCTTTCCTATGTCTCCCAGGGCCTGTCTGACAGAAAATGCTGTGTGGAGTTAGTAAGCACACAGGAAGCCTCACTCACTGTCTCTAGGTATGTCCAGGATGGTGGTGAGCAGCCACCTGGGACTGTTGACCTTAAAGTATGGCTTGTCTGAAGGAACAGGACTGTGTGTTTAAAGCACACAGCATTTTTCAAAGTCCTAGCACAAGGAAGGAAGGAAGGAAGGAAGGAAGGAAGGAAGGAAGGAAGGAAGGAAGGAGAATCTTTAGAAATCTTATAATAATTTTATATTGGCCAACATTAAAATGACAATATTTGGATATAAGGCTAAATAAATAAAGTGTATTTTTAAATTTACTTTTACCTGCTTCTTTGTTATTTCTAATTTAAACTTTCAGGCGTGGTTCATCCCTGTGGGTCTTCTGTGGATGAGCCAGCGCTGCTTTCACTGGCCTTTTCCAGATGAGAAGTTGAGGCTTGGGGAGGAGCCAGCCCAGCCTGTGCTCCTACAGTGCTGGCCCTGGGTGCTAGTCCACACCCCCTGCACTGCCTCCCGCAGTTAAGCATGACTACAAATGGAAGTCAGTCTTTGGGATCGCATGCGCTTGGTATGGAAAAATGAAATCAGTTGAGCAGAGTGTGAAGGCAGTGTCTTCTCACTCTTCTGCGCTCATTTTGCTCCATTTTGTTCTCCTTAACGCCTGATGCTGATTGCCTTTGACGCCTGTTGTTTGGTCTTAGTTAACTTATCAGAGCTTTTCAGCCTCTGACATCTGAGGTCCACAGAGGGTTTATCACGCAGGCCTTCAGGTCTGGGTGCCTCTCAGTGTTTCCTGCAGCTCAGCTGGTTATGTAACAGTTGCATAGGCTTTTTTATAATACCTCTGATAATGCCCCTTTGGACAGGGAGCCTGGCTTCATGCAAGCTTGTTTTCATGGTTACTTCCCCTTGGGGTCCGTACAGACCTCCAGAGGCTCTGGGCCTTTCACTTGCCATAGGTTGTGAATCATGTCTGCCATTGCAGTACAGTAGGGCCACAAATGGTTCACAGCAAGTTTTCTCAGAGAATCAGTAAAGAAAAAAAAATATTTGATAAGTAATTTTGAATTTTAATCAAACACAAAATAGATTACTTTGTTGTAGAAAAGAATTTATAGTCTGAGCTTTATTGGAGTTTATTGAAATGATATTTGACCTAAGTGAGCTTTATTTATTTAGTGTGTGTGTGTATTAGGGTTTTTATTGCTGTGAGGAGACACCATGACCACAGCAACTCTTATAAAGGAAAACATTTCATTGAAGTGGCCGCTTACAGTTCAGAGGTTCAGTCCGTTCTCATGACAGGAAGCATGGCAGCACACAGGCAGACATGGTGCTGGAGAAGGAGCTGAGAGTCCTACATCAGCAAGTCTGCAACAGCAAGCCGACTGGGACACTGGGCAGTATCCTGATCATACAAAATCTCAGAGCCCACCCCCACAGTGACACACTTCCCCTAACAAGGCCACACCTACAAGTAAGCACACCAACAAAGCCACACCTCCTGCCATTTTCTTTCAAACCATGTGTGTGTGTGTGTGTGTGTGACATATAGATGTGCAAAGATGTGCACCTGTGCGTACATGCAGAGACCAGAAGAAGATGTCAGAAATCTTCCTCTATTATTTCCTGCGTCCTCCTTTGAGCCAGGTTCTCTTACTGTGCTGGAAGCCTGCTGTTTTCTGGAGGATGGCTGGCCCACCAGCCCCAGCAATGTTCCTGTATTTAATACTTTCCCTCCTCCATCCTTGCACAGCTTTTTAAAATAAGATGTAAAAATCAAAAAAGATGGTTATTAAATCTGGAGTGAAATTGCATGCCTTCATTCATTCAACAAACATTTACTGTCTGCCAGGAACTGTGTTGGATTTTATATGGGCTATCCTATTAAATTCTTGTAACTTTTTCTTGGAAATTCTGTTTTATCAATGAGGATAATGGGTCCGGAGAGATAGCTCAGCGGCTAAGCACTAGCTGCTCTTCTAAGGGACCTAGTTCAATTCCCAGTACCCACAAGTTGGCTCACAATAGTCTGTAACTTCAGTTCCAGGGACTTCAACTCCCTCTTCTGGCATATGTGGGCACCAGGCATGCAAGTGGTGCACAGATATACATGGAGGCAAAACATCTACACACATAACTTTGAAGAATAAAAAGTTCAAATATTTTGAGTGCTGAAATG